CGCCGGGCCAGTGAAGAGCACAAATATAACTTAAGTGTTTCTTGTTATGTTTTTCTCCGTAAAAAACTCATGCGAACAAGCCACCAGCCAACGCTTGCACTTTGCCATGTCTCGCGAAGGTTTTGGGAAAGGAATGAATACTTTCTTCCCTAATTCCTTTCACTCTTTGAGTGATTTTGGCCATTTATCTGCATATCTTGAGTCTGACTTACACTAACCCCAACAACAGTGTTTGGTACAACCATGCCGCTTCCTTTTAGAACGCCAAGTCTTTTTTTGACGAAATTTTCCGTCGTTTTGTTTTAATTTTACAGCTCTCGCTCATACATTTCCTTAAGCTGGTCGCAATGTTTGTCTGAGTCTGTGCGGGGGGTCTCATAGGTTATCACGTAACAAAATCTATTTGTTGTTATAGTATAAAGCGCTATTTAATTCGTTTTGTACGTCGGGCTATCGTCGAATTTAATTGCTTGTGAGATCTTGAGTTAAATTCGTCTGAATTAAATTCGACTGTAGCGCGACGTATAAACTAGGCCTTAGTTATTAATATTTTTGTTCACTTGGTTAAGCGTTTCGAAAGTTGGTACATGAAATGAACATGTTCGCGAGTTCATAGTTATATGTAAATTTATGACCCGGTCAACTTAATTTTGCCTTTTGATGAATTATATTGAAAAATTAAAGCCTACCAGAATAAAATTCGAAATGAAAAACTCGACAAAACGTAATCACGATTTCCCTCATGGCTAACTCACACTAGTACGTTCTGTACGTTTTTTTACTTAATCCATTACTCGTTACTACGTTACTTCGATTTGTAACATCACGAGCGCAGATTGATAGCATGACAGAGTTAGATAGCTTCGAGTTGATTTTAAACTTAATAGGAGAAGCGTTTAACTTGTTAATGTAAAAGGTAACGTTGTTCTCGGACGATTTCCTGTATTAGGGCGTAAGTAAGAAGTTCTACAGCACGTTTCCAGATTTGCTTAAGCTTGTAATTCGATCAATTTCCTTAAAGTTTATGGCTGAATGGACACAAATTTAAGCTCTGCAGGGAACTCGCAGAAGTCACAATTAAGAGCGCAGGATTATTGCACAACTTCGAACTTGCCAAATTTGGCATCCTGAAGATTATATTCGCATTAGCTACCTTGTCATCCATAACTTTCCAAACGGCAAGGTAGGGCTGTATGTTAACATTGTTTTAGTTTATTTGCTTCTAGCACTGTTTATTTCCTCGAACGTAGACTTATTATAATTGGTGATAAAATTCCTTTTCTGACGGAAAAAAGATATTAAGGATGTCCTTTTAAGTTGTTAATTTAATAGGAAACGCTGTTCTCGGACGAGTTTCTGTATTACAGCGGAAGGAGAAGTTCTACAGCACGTTTCAGATTTACTTAATTAAGCTTGTAATTCAATCAACTTCCTTGATGGCTGAATGGACACAAATTTAAGCTCTGAACACTGCAGGAAACTTGCAGAAGTCACGATTAAGAGCGTGGGATTATTGCACAGCTTCGAACTCACCAAACGTAATCAGCCAATAGAAACGTTACTGACGAAGTCGAAATTCCAGAATGAAATCTCCCATTCTGAACATTATATTCGCATTAGCTACCTTGTCATCCATAACTTTCCAAACGGTGAGGTAAGGCTGTATGCTAGTACTGTCTTGTTTATTTATTCGAACGTAGGCTTACTATAATTGGTGATAAAATTCCTTCTCCGACAGTTAACAGATATTAAGGAAATGAAGCGACCCACTAAAATTTGTCCTTTCCTAACCAGTGGCTTCGTTTCTAAGCTGGTACTATCAATCATAGATCATCTAGGAGAGTAGGCTCTGTAGAAGCCTAAATTGCCTAGCTACCTTCTTTTACCTACTGCGTATGTTCCGCCCGTGACAATCAGTTCCCCTTCGAAAAGAGAAAAGGCTTCGTCCTCGACTTTAAATTGTTACTAATAATGAGATGGTTTTTCCTTACTTCTTAGCGGACAGGATCAACCAAGGCTCAAAGTGCTTGAAATGGATCAAAACGGAACACTTTACCTTCACAAAACTTCACTTTTCTGCATAAGTGAGATTGTCAAACGCTTAGCTGAAGGAAAATATAAACTGGCTGAACAAAGTACTTTAGGTAACAAACAAATGAGTGAAATTTGAGTAAATTTTTGTTTCTGTGGGCTACGTTAGAAATGAGTTGACTGTATTTTCATGATCCAAATTCTCCATAGGGATGTCAAAAGAATTCGCAATGTTGAACTGTAAAGACCTGAAACAGAAAGTTCCCTCAGCCGAGTCAGGTGTCTATTGGATAGACCCAGATGGTGGTTCTCATGGTAACGCATTCCAGGCCTTCTGCGACCAACAGACTGAAGGAGGAGGTTGGACACTAGTTTGGAGTTACACTTTTACAGATTACTCCAATTTCAACAGGCAATCTAATGCTGTCACCCCGCGTCCATCTTGGTCAGCCAGGTATGCTAACGTTCGAGTGTCAACAACCGTTCCACTGAGCGAAACGCATTATGAGGCTATGGACTTTGCTTTGTGGCGCAGCATTGGAAAGGAATTCCTGATCAAGAGCAACATCAACAACTGGATCGCATGTAAGGAAGGCACTGGAAGCATGGTGCAACAGAAAAAGGGCTCTATCACTTGTAAGATTGTTAAACAACTTTCTAATGTGTGTTTCGGTGCAGTACCGAACTCGGTCAGGCCATTTGAAACCGGAATGGTTCTTGAGGACAGTGAAATTTATTTTTTTTTTGATGGTTCCACAAATAGGAGCCCGCAATGGCCAATACATGACCCATGCGGAAGAGCTAAAACAAATCAATTGAAAAAAGTGCCTAATCCACACGGAAATGTTTTCGTTCGTTGAACTTAAGTTATACGAGCTGTATTCCTAAAGAACAAATCGAATTGGCCGGTGATTTTTTCCTTTCTTTTCTTTTTTTTTCTTTCTTTTTTTTTTTTTTTAAGCAGGATTCAAAGATCAGCGGCATGGAATACCTGTGTTGTAATTTAATAAATGAAAAATATAAAAATATACAATTCCTGTTTACAAGATGCTTGATTTATTCCACCAGTTTGATTCAATTCAGTTCGATTAATTCCCACTAGTCCCAGTCCTCCAAGAGGATCTCAATCGATTTATGTCTCTTACGACTAGCGTTTAAATTTTGCCTATTTTACGGCTAACGGTGCATTTCTTTCCGTCGCTACTTAAAGAAACTTTTTTTGCGGTTACCTTTTTTTTTTTTACGACTAACAGCTAAAATTCATCGATTTTTACGGCTTACAGCTAATTTTTTTTTACCGTTTTACGCCCTACGGTTAAGAAAACTGAGACCGCCTCCTCCAGGGTGTTTGCTTCTTTTATTCACTAGCCATGACTTTAAATCATCTTCATTTATTACTTTCATATATCGTCTTATAATACACTTCTAAACTTGATTTACTGTAAAAACAAATTTTAAAAGGTCAGAGTAAAGGTTTTGCACTGAAAAGAATTGGAGCCTTTGATAGTCTTGTCTTTGGCGTACTGACATTGTAGGGACCTTATAAGGCAAACCACGACGTACGGCGACGGCAACGAAGACTTGGAAAAACAAACGATCTAATGGACAGTACAGAACAATAGCTAAGCTCGTGCGTTTGAAAACTTTGTACGTTTCTCAGCCGTCCTTTGCAAAATAACATCGCGAAATCAACAAAATTTGCGTCGTCTGCCAATGGAAACCGCGACGGGAAATTATTTTAATTTCCATTTGGAACTCAAAGCTGCCTATATACGTTATGTTGAGGTTGAGTTGTGGCGCCGTATGAGACGATTAACACATGCAGCTATTTTCGAAATTCTGACTAAAAAAACAGAGATTAATTTTTTTAACGACATCTACCTTGGCGTTGTCGTCCTGACTGCTTAAGGTCCCTGCTTTCTAATTGAGAAAGGCTTAACTAGAATAGAAAAAAATACAAAACAGCAACCTCATGGTTTCGAATTCTTTTAATTGCATTGGCAACGCCGACTGTTTTCTGATCTCTTTTGGGCTGAAAACAAATCACGGATACTCAAACTCTCTTGACCTTAGATTTTAACTTTCTGTTTAAAACAGTTCCATACGAGTCACGCTACTGGGAAACGGGAACATCACTTAGCAAAAGGTTTCAAGAGCAGAGCAATAGCTGTGCACGTGCATTATAGATCTTCGTAAATTTCTTTGCGCCCTTTGCATATGGCCTTTGCATATGAAGTGCATATGGCCAAACTTTGCGTTTTCTGGAAAACATGAACGACGAAG